GTGGCTCGCGTTGAACGCGGGCTGGTCCGGCTGCGCGAACCCCGCGCCCGCGCCGCCCCCGCGCATGATCTCGTCCCAGCCCGCCCACGCCTCTCCCCCTACGTGCCCCCCCTCCCCCTCCTCCTCCCCATCCTGCATCCCCTCCCCGTCGCTGAACGCCTCCCCCTCCTCCTCCGCCAGCGCCCCCAGCGCGTCGTCCGCGCACAGCAGCTCGTCGAGCGGGAGCTCGATCGTAGGCCGCGCGACGCGCATGTCGCTCGCGCCCGTCTGGCCCGCGGCCTCGCCGTAGTTCATGCGCGGCGCGAGGGACGGCGCGGGGTAGAGCAGCGCCGCGGGGCCGAAGGACGTGCTGAAGAGCGTCGGGAGGCGGACCGTCTCGGCCGCGGTGCGCTTGCGCTTCGGGGCTCCGTCGGCGTCTAGATTAGGGGCCGAGTGGGCAGAGGGGTTGGCAGAGGAGGGCGAGGCGGAGGTGAAGGTTGTGGAAGGCGAGGTGGCGGGGGGGTCGACGGCAAAGGTGAACTGCATGCGCTGGATGATGTGCTCGGGGGTGTGCATGCTCGCCTCGCGCGTGCGCTCCTTCTCGACCGCGCGCTGCCGGATCAGGTCCGTCGACGGGTTGCGCTTAAAGTCGGGCGCGGGGAGCTCCTCGATGCTCCTGCGGCGAGTCAGTACGAGTACAAAAGAGAGTAAAAATCAGGTAAAAAGTAAAAGGAAAAAGAAAAAGACAAAGACAACGCACCGGCCCTTCTCCTTGTCGAGCTTGTCGCCCATGCACTTTGAGAGCTTCTTGAACTCGCGCTTGGACTTTGCGTTGTCGGTGTCGACCATCAGGTTCTGGAGGTGCCATAGCCTGAGACAACGAATGAGCGCGCGGGCAAGGGAGGAAGCGGAAGGACGTGCCGCCAGGACAGGTTCTCGAGCCTCTGTCCCTGTTCGAGGTAGCTCGCGACCTTGGTGCAGACCTGCGGGGTAATTAGTGAAAACAAGAAAAAGACAAGAAATGGGCGTCACCTTCCAGGTCTTGGTCAACGACTCGGTGTCATTGAGGTTGCTGAACGCAACGAACGACTTGTTACCCTGCGCAGAAAAAGGTGAGGACAGCGCGGGGTGGACGGGGGAGGACGGACTTTGAACTTGAGGTTGAGGATGGAGGGCATGAGCAGTGCGCGAGGCGGGCTCGCAGGGGGGCAGAAAACGGAGACTAGGGAAGACGGAGAAATCAGGCGATGACTTATATCCACACGCCCAAGATGGCAATAAATATCCAGGGCACGTTGCACCTCCTTTTTATTCATTACATCCTACTCGCCTCTGCGTCTGCTCTCAACACAGTCTCTACGACAAAACAACGATTTTATCCGCCGCTGTGCGCCGCAGCGCGCGCAGTCGCAGCGTCTCGCAGATACTGGTTGTGGGATCGGGATCAGCCTCATGTTTGGCGTTGGCGACGTCGATCCCGTTGAGATGAAATCAAGTCGCATCTCGCATGCCCTGAACCCAGCTTCGAGCTTAGCGAGGCCTCGAGGCATGACGCGTGATCCCCCGGCCCCCCGCGCCGGCCTCGAGGTCCCACAGCGCGGCCCATCAGAGATTCCTTATCCGCGGTACACGCTAATTAACGGCGCGTAGATGCGATACGCGACGCGACGACATTATCTTGCTCCGTCCCACGCTTTATCAATCTACGCGCCGGCTCTCATCCTGCGCCCCACCCCGCCCCCGCCCTCCCTCCGCGCGGATACACTACGTCGACGTCGCGACCGCCAAATTCTCACATCACATCCGACGCTGATGGATGTACGTATACGTAGCGCGGTATGGTACGCATCTGCCCACTGGCAGCCCTACCCTTCTTTCGCCAAACGAGGACGCCAATATGTTGCCTTTGTCCCAGTTATTCTCGCTCTTGCCCTATGCGGGGGCCTCAAGTCCAACACCCTCGAACGCGGCGCTCCACCCTGCCAAACCCATCGCAACCCCCAAGCCCGCGAATTCGAAGCGCCTCGAGGCGGGCCTCGCATCTGGCCGCGGCGGCTCGATCAATGTATCGTTCCTACATAGAATACCTATAGCTCCAGCCGTGTTTCCCGAGCGCCCGCCGCTGTATACCCGTGCCGTCGGCTCATTCGCCACCGGGGAACCGTTTCGTTTCGTTCAATCCACGTTTCGTTTAGGATTCAAGGGAGAGAGGAGAGGGGGTGGCGTGGGCGGCGCTGTGCAGGTGTCAATAATGGGTGTTTATATATCAATTGCACCACAGTAGGTGCGCGGAAAATGGGACGGGATTCAGAACGATTGGGCTCAGGTTCGGGTTCGGGTTCGGGTTCAAGTTTATTTTATTTTATTTTATTTGGATGGAGCGGGGACGTTGAAGTGCCACTGCCGACGCAAGTGGGGCGCTAGCAGACGACAGATGAGTAGACTACGCGCGCGACGTCGATGCTCACGGGCGTCCTGCCGAGACGAGACGCGCGCGGCTGCGGGTATGCGCACCCGCACCCGCATCCACCGGCGAGCGGAGGCGCCCTCGATCCCCTCGTCCCGCGTCCGCCGCAAAACCGACGAGGAACCTGACCCCCAGACGAGTCCCCCGTATGTCGAATTACGTCTGTATAAGCAAGCACACCCCACGTACACCGCGCATCCAACGTGTCGGATGCTCCACTTCGTCCGCGTCTAGTCTAGGAGAGCGTGCTTTCGTCGAAACAATGGTGATCGCCTGTAGTATACTATAATTTGAACTGCGGAGAGGAGGGGTGCCAAGAACAGACAGAAAATAATAATAATATGCAACACTGAACGCCGCCCCGCAAGAATGGGTTTGTTCCTTACCCTGACCAGGCGCACCGCGCATCCGACGGCCGAGTGTCGCGTGGACTCTTAGTTCAACTTATCGGATACCCTAGTACTCGTACCCCCGCGAAAAACTGTTTAATTCGAACTTGGTTTAAACTGCCCAGAGGGGGGTGAACAGCAAGAGCAAGAACAAAGCTCGCCGCTGAATATGCAACACTGAACGCCGCTCAAAATGTCTCTTCACGCTGAAATACTGCACACCCCGCGTCCGACGGCGGATATGTACCTGGAGGCGGCGGAGGGGATCATGGTTCAATTTATCCACTCGTACCCCCGCTTGCCTCGGTCGACGCCCGTAATTTGAACTTGGTTTAAACTGCCCAGAGAGCTAAATTATGCAACACTGAACGCCTCTTCACGCTGAAATACTGTACACCCCCGCATCTTCCCCAAAGGCCAAGCAAAAATAAGACTCGGTCTCGACGGGGTGTGCCTTCGATCATTATAAATTGCGGCCGTCCGCATCGGTCCCACTAGACCTCGGCCGAGTTGGGAATCTACTCCCCGAGGAAATCTATAGACTAGGAAGACTACTAGATATCGCGATCGATGTTGGCGTGAATATTCCAGCGAAAGGGCCTAGAGATACTCTGGCGTTTATGCACACTGAACAGGGCGGTTGTAAAAACTCTCCGTGGCCATTGGATGCGGGTGCGGGACTCCACTTCATTTCTTCATCTATCCATCTCCTATCGGTGGCCGAATATACTGCCCCCGAGCAAGGCTTATCTATCAGCAGCTCAATTATTCCACTCCGCCTAGCCCCATCGTGGGCGCGGTGGAATCAGCTGTCCTCCTCTGGATCTGCGTTGCGGCTTCCGAGGACCGCAAATCAATTCCCTCCCTCATACTCCATGTACACCTCCAGCCTGAGACGCTTGTCGAACACCCAATTGAAAAAATGAACGTTCCTGTACTTCAGACCGAGTCCAGTTTATTCACTTGCATACCTAGTCCTCAGGTTTCGTTCCTCCTCTCTCTTATAACATTAATCAACCTGTTTCGTCAGCTCATCCGCAAAGGGCATAGCCCCCAACAAGTTGGACCTCCCCAAATCGGATCGCGGCCCCGGGCCCCGCACATGGTCAATATTCACGTTCCTGATCCTCAAGGCTTATGCGGAATTCGAAGGCCGCCCTTCCTCGCCCATGCATGTCCATGTGCATGTCCACAAACCCCTTTCCTCAACACCCCTCTCCTCTCCTCTCACCTCCTACACCTCCATATGCATCTTCCTTTCAAACGCGGTTGAACCCGAGAAACTTCCAACCTCGAACCCCATCAAATCGGTGAAATTCCGGCCGCACAGGACAACGATGGCGTGCTCCTCGCAAATCCCGGCATTCCTCCCGAATTCCCCGCGCTCATAAACCCGCTTTCAGCCCGAAGAGGCCCCCGGTCACTACCCCATAACTCCGTCCGCCTTTTTCCGAAAATTTTCGTTGATTTACGCTATGAAAATTGGCCTTTTGGGGCCTGATTTACGCTATGACGGACTGAATATTCAATTTTTTTTCTCCCACGCCATTTTTCACCGATTTTTTCAGCAATCAAGAGCTTTTTTAGGCTCTTTTACGGCTTCTCGCAACACGGACCGTTGAATGTGGATGATTTCCGGCCACTTCGTGACTCAAATCGGACTCAAAATCGGCAGTGGTGGGCCCTTTTCTCCAAAAAAAATTCTCCTGCGGGATTTGATTTACGCTATGGCGGACTGAGAGGAGGTCCACAGAGGCTGATTTACGCTATATCACGGACCTGAAAACACCAATTTTCGCTCCCTGATTTACGCTATTCCGGACCGAGTTATGGGGTAGTGACCGGGGGCCTGCCCGAAGCATCATTTCTTCGGACCAAATGCGGACGAATACTGATGCCATCACTTTTCGAACCAAATTTGATGGCACCACCAAACACCTTGCCCGCCTTCCCCCTCGCCTCCAAAAATTCTGAAAATAATACACAGGGTGCCCAGCATGTCCCCCATGGTACTGAGAGGGTTTCCGGGCCTTGGCGACACGCAAAATTTGAGATTTTTACAAAGTCCGCGTCGGCTATGTACGGACTTTGTGATACGGATCGTTCCTGGGGGGAAAAGGTTGGTTCCGGGGTTGCTAGGGGGCGTTGAATAAGCCAAAAAGATCTGGACAAGCTGGGAATTGAACCCAGCACCTCCCGCACACAGGTCATGGGTTCAGAACCACAACGGAAATGCGAAGCGGGCGCGATAACCAACTACACTACTTGCCCGACGAACAGAGAGGCAACGGCGACTACCTGGCCGCAATTAAGGAGCCTTTCCATACCCAACGTCTGCCCGAAGAACGTCCATGTCAAAGCGTGGGTCTGAAATGGCTGTGAAATATATTTCATCACCGAGTTGAAATTAAACCCACTACCAATTGAATGTTTCTCTACTCTGGGTCCCGGCATGAATTGAATCGTACTACTTCATTGAATCGCGCGAGAGTGAGTCAAATTAATCTCGGGACTCGGGGCAAAGAGCAGCGTTAAATCCCCGAACAGATTTCTCACGGCACTGAAGAATCCGACTGGGCCCGGCCATATTCCGAGGGAGGGAATCAGGAAGTGTCGACACTTCAATCGAAAGCCGCTCCGAATATACCAAGCTGAAGATAGAATTAATAGGGCCCGCGCGGCCCATCTTAAATCCGCCCCAGCTCCCATCTTTTAATTTCGCGTCTACGGGAATACAGCACCACGAAAGCCCTACGCCCGCCCGCAGGAAACGGCGTGGTGTGGCGTCGCCCTAGCGTTGAGCTTCCACCCCTGGTTCTAGGGGCCCTGACAGCACCTCTAACTTCTGCTCCAGGTTCCAGTTCGAGGGAGCTTGCTCCGGCCCCAGCCGCCGAGAGAGAAGAGAAGATGTGGTGCTATAGTTGGAGTACTTCGAAGGCCGGCTCGGGTATCCGTGCACAACTCCCGGCAGCGTGGGACCACATCGAGTGCCACATCGACAGGCGCGGCAGGATATCGGATATCTGTGGGCTTGATACTGACTGATGCTGCGACGAACGTGTATACAGCAGCATGAGCGATAGAATTGCGTCCGTGAGGTGAGATAACAATGGTACGAAATTAGTGGTCGAGACCAAGACATGATCATGCTGCGACGTAGTGCGGACCAGCCTTGAGTATTTTTGTAGAACACCCGACAGTAGTTGAACGGATCACCCGGTCCTCTCTCTCAGGATGTCAAGATACGGGACCGAATGTGGGGAATCAGGATCGTCCCGCGATCACGATCGACGCTACGGGCGCATCAGTAAGATGAAAAGTTCGCGATTTTATACACCAGGAGTCACGATTAATAGCGGGGACGAACCGTACGCTGATTGCGGACACTGACGAATCTGCACCCACTCGGTCAGCAAAGAGGGTCGTGGCATGCCTTATAGATCGTTCACAGGACACGGAATGATCCTAACCAACTTGCTGGGCAACAGCGATCTCGGCTTAAGAAGAGCAATGTATGTTAGAACACGATCGGAAACTTTGTAAGGAAATTCTCCATTTTGAGGTTATCGATGGGCGATACGGCAGTAAAAGGTCACCAGGGAGAAGGCGTGTTTGCAGCGTTCGCAGATGCTGCCACCGAGAATGATTTTCGTTGGCTGAGGCACAAGCACAGCGGGAACTTCCGCCCTATCGATAAGGAAACCCCCCGCGATTGGGGCGGCAAAATTTGACATCGTCGGCCGTGCACGTAGTTTTGTGAGAAGGTAGTTAATTTCGGTGCCAGTTGAGCTCTGGCTGGGCGCGCTAGGTCGGGCACAGCGAGCGAACGTGACGTAAGTGATACTTGCAGATAAGGTGAGCCGTCGCCATGAGGTTTCAGCCCCAGAATCTTCCGTCTTGGGGAATTTTCCTTTGCAGGAGATTAGCTCTCAGCAATCGCCCGATGGGATGACTCTGATAAGATGAGATGAAGAGAAAAGAAAGAAGGTTCAGGCTGTGCCTTGGTTGCACCTTGTTTGCTCGTAGTACGCGTCATCACGGGATCGTCAATTCCTTTTCAGTTATACCACCATGAACACAATTAGGTTCGGACCAAGCCTCTCGGAGCCTAGGCTCGTTTCAGCCTCTCTAGTCTACCGGGCGTGAAATCTGAAGATAGTCGTTCAGATCACGTATACTAGAGAGGCTGGAGTCAACGAGTACAGGCGAACACGAGTCGCCTCGGAGTTTGAAATTGAAATGCCTTGGCAACCGCTAAACAATCACTCCATCAATTATCGCCCAAAAACTTCGAAAAGAAATACTCAGAGCTCCTTCATTACCTGTGGTAAAATCCACAAAAAATTCTGAGCACCTCTTATTGATCGAAATTCGTATCCGCAAAAATAATGCCCTCATTGGGTGCTTTGAAAGGTGCGTAGGACATGTCATCATAATTTTCAAACTCCGAGGCGACTCGCTGTACTCGTAGATCCTAGCCTATCGGAGCCGGCGAGCCGGTATTCTCAGAATTCCCTGCTTGCACGTGAATAACATGTGATCTCGAAGGCGGCTTGATCCGAACCTAGAACACAATTGGCACACTTCAAACTCAGCACGACGCGGTCACGCGGGGAATGAAACGAAATAACTGCAAGTGCGCAACTATTGCGGCCGTGGAAAACAACAAATCGAAAATCTTGCCTCAAAAGCGAGCTGAACACGTCTAGAGGGAGACTAACGTCTTTTTCCAACTCTCAGCTGATCTGGATTCCCTCATCTTCATCCTTCGATTCTTCCAATTCCGCCGGGTCCCAAATTCCAATGCCTAGCAATGATGCCTTCAAGATGAAGCCCAATGATATCTAGCTCTATTCCTTCATCTAGCCACATGCCGCGTGCCAGAGCTGATTTCCGTCCCCGACTCCCCGGTCGTATCGCTTCGTCCCAGTATCAAGAGAAATATTCCGGAACTGCGGGCGGTGGCCTAGATTACTGCATGATACGCTTGGCGCGAACATCTACATGAGCGGCGGCCGCGCGCGTGAACAACTGTCACCGCATGGGCGTCGACTCGGCATTGGAGCCGTCATCGAGTGCGGTGAGCTTCGCTTCGCGCGCGGACGGTACTAGAAGTAGGTCCCGTTCTTGCAGGCCGCGAAATTGCCCTTTGTTGACTAGACTCGAAACCATTCACGTTTTTAGCCAGAACAAATTGATGATAGTCGATCAATTCGCGGGCGAACTTGGCCCGGCACCTTTAATCGTCGTTTCGGGCGTCCGGCTGTGTTCGAGTCTATTTGTTGACAATCCCTAGATACACTGCATATACAGCTTACAAGCCGCTTGTTGTATGAAAATCCGAGAAACCAAGGGCTGCAAGTTGCAAGACAATCGATCTAGTTCTCGTGAAAATGTCGTTGGCTCATTTCCGCTGAGAACTATGGCGCGCACTCCGCGAACCCAAAAGCACAGCCCATCACTACCCATTCCCGACCAACGCCCTCAACGCCTCCGCACGCTTCGTATCCGCGCGAAGGTCAAAGGCCCGAGGCTTACCATCTCCCGGGAGCAACGGTGAAAGCCCGGGGCCCAGTCTCCGGACCGAAAATAGCGAGCCCGCGCGGGGCAACACGATGCGGCCGTCTTCCGCGTCAGGCATCGAAGCAACTACGGGCTTGAGGACCTCCGCGATGCGCAGATGGAGGATGTGCGGATCCGTGGGGGAGCGCTCGAAGTGCGCGAGGGCGGAGCCTGGAGGGCGCCGGTTAGTGGGTCAAAGCAGAGGCATTGCGAGATAGGGCAGCGACGCGCAGAGGATAGTAGGTGGGAGGTAATAACCAAGGAGACATACCTCTGAACGGATGCCGCCGTTTCGACCCTCCTGATTGGTCCGCGAATATCTCTTTCATCGTGAAGGGGTGAATCCTCTCCTCCCCGACGACAACAAGGTTTATCCCCCCTCCAAAGTCGACGGGAAACCGCTGGTGCAGCCCAAAGAGCCAAAGTGAGGGGAAAACGTGTCCCCCGTGCCCGTCGAGGCGTTTCCGCCATTTCTCGAGTCCATCCAGTGTAAGGTGTCCTTCCCGCAGTAGTTGATCGCGCAGGATGGGGGAGGTCGACACCACTGCTTGAACAAGGAGCCTCTGCCACGGGAGACCATTGGAGAGGAGCAGGTCATGCCCATCGTCGAAGGAGGACGGATGGGCCGTAGGCGTGCAGCGAAAGCGGAGGCTTGCAGCCAACAGGGGGAGGCCAGGTCGGGGCCCAAAGTAGAAGAAGCCGCGCGCATGTGGAGGAAACGGCGTGCTATCAATGTCATGCCTGTGCTCGTACCGCAAAAGGCGGCTGGGACCGCTTGCAGTGAGCGGGTAGGACAGGTTAATTTGAGGCACATTGGACAAGTCGAGGTAGTCCGATTCAGTGAGCAGGGTGGGAGTCAGTGTGGAGAGCATTCGCCGAGGGCGTCCGAGTCTGGGAGTGCGTTCGGGGTCGCTAAGCTCTGCTTCTTCTCCACGCTCTTCACCCTGGGCCCATTGAGTGAAGATCCGAAATGTGAAGGAAAAAAAGCGTACGGACGAGCGTATGCCCAGCACGATTCTGGTGAATGCGAAATCCAGAGTTCGACGGTCTTGATGGATTCTCCGGGCGCTTCATATGAAAAGATCGGCGGCTGGCCGGGACCTATCGGGTGCAGAAGTACAACAATATGAGAGTGCGAGAGACGACGAGAAAAGGCACATACAGCCCATTTGAGTAGCGCACCACGCAGACGTAGTCGATTCATCAGTCCAGAAACTTGCTCGGAAAAAGTGCCGGCTTCTGAAATTTGCACTGGTACCAGAGACTGTGGAGTCGGTGAACCGCAAGAGCGGGACTGGCGCAAGGTATGACTGAATATTCTGCCAAATGTAAAACCCGGAAACGCGAACGGGTGGTGGTGAGAGATGGAGAAAATAAATCGTCGAGAGCACGCGATCACGTGGAATGTGTGGGGACTCCAAGATTTTAATTTAGTTCAATAGTTGGACGTGCTCGTGCGACAATGCAAGGAGAACGATGACATTATTTATCGAGCTGGGTATTCACGGCAAATTTTACAAAGCAAATCGAGGATGTCCGCAAGCAGATACGAGGTGACAGCATTGTGCTGGCCCTCCGCATGTGAGGCATTCGCGCCGAAACGATGAGCAAGTGGTGCTCTATGGCCCCCACTAGCCATTCTCCGCCAACACCCTCAGCGCCTTTGCAATCTTCGTGTCGGCGCGAAGGTCCAAGGCCCAAGGCTTGCC